CAAAAGTTTGGAATATATTTTGGTCTATAAATTGATTCCATGATTAATTTTTCAACTAAAATTGCTTGTTTGTTCTATGCTTTCATTTCAGAATGAAATGACACAATAAACTGAATAATTTTCAGTAAAAAATTGGAAAAAGTGTGGTGTTCTAAAACTTTTGACCGGTAGTGTATATGAGAAAATAGAGCAAGTTTACCACCATTCCTAATTTATTTAGTTTTATTCCCTTAAAGTATACTCAAGAGTACTGTTAAAGTACTGGACCGATGAGCAGCATTGGAAAGAGAAATAATGCCTTAAAAATCTTAAGGGCACCCATCCCTAGCGGGAGTTAAACAAACTTATTGTATCACCATAACAGCAGTATGCAGCATGCCACTAGACATCACCCACAATTCAAGAAACTACCCTCACATAGTCCATGATGGAGAGGAACGCTGCAACCAAACCAACTGACAACACATCCAAACAGTACAAGGACATAACCACACAGGTAGCATACTACATTGCCAAGTGCATAAATCAGGGGTTGACAACCCGTGGGTCTTTCATGCATCTGCTGCGGCTCCTTGTGGCTTTGGAAAATAAATAGCAAGTATTTGATTTAAATTTATTTTATTTTAGTTCATTAGTTTTTTAAAATGAAATTCTAAATTTGAAGATTATGGTGATCTTGTAACACTCAAATAAAACGTGTTTAATTCTTTGTCGCTCAAAATATGTGTTGCAACTGCCGATGTGCAACACCCCTGGATAGTGCAACGCATAGTGTTGCCAACTTCACGACATTCTCGCTAAATCTTTCCAAATCCTCTTGGTGACTTTTTTTTTTGTCAAAGGGACTAGCAACAAATCTAGCAACTCGTTCTGGGGTTACTGGGGACTTTTCTGGTGTTTTTGAGACTCTGATGTGAAAACACGTATTGTTCTGCAATTACAATTTACAAAGGTCAATCAAAAATNGACCTGTCCAGGGTGTCCCCTGCCTTCACCCTAAGTCGGCTGGGATAGGCTCCAGCCCCCCCGCGACCCTAATGAGGATTAAGCGGTGTATAGAAAATGGATGGATGTCTCAAAAGAAAATTTAATCAGTTGAAGTAACCATGAGTTCAGTTCAGAATCTGAGATTTGATCAAAGAGCGACTAACTGCTGCTGCTGAAGAAATATTCACAGAGTTTGAAAAAACCATCGTCAGCGCAGATTGCTGGACATCATCTGGAAAACTGAAACACACACTGTAGGTACGTAAATATAGACCTGGTAATGTGTAAAACACAACAGAAACAGATTTAACTGTTAGATTACTACATAACAAGAAACATAAGACGTAACTGTGAGCCAACAAAGACAACACAATTGGTGCTAACAAAGCTAGCAAAGCTAACACTACCTGAAAGCTCATAAGCTAACGGGACAAAGGACCGTGTATTAGTTGAGAACTCCTGAAATAAGCCTTGGTCAGCATCACTAACTCACAGACCAACAGAACTGTTAAATCTACATTTTGACTCTGTTGTTTCAAACAAATGTAGAAAGTCACCTTCTTTTCTTTGGCTTTATTAAACAGCAGCAGGATCCAAACTGTCTTCAGGCTGACGGAGGAACTTTGCATTTTGCTCACAGCAGGTGACTTTATTAATTACATACAGTTTCTGTTTCATTGTGACCAGCTTTACTAACCTAAACACGTTTACTGCACAGCAACTAAATGGTCACGTTAAGATGAATGCAGCACCATCAGGGCTGTCGCAACATTTTTGTTTTCCGCAAAAGCCTCCTTTAAAGTTTCCCCTTCAGAATCCTCTTATTTTGAGGTATTGAAAGTGGACTGTTGCAGGAAGTGCATGAAATTTACAGCAGTGACATTACTGCAAAAAAATTGACATTATTAAATCCATCCATCCATTATCTATACACCAACTAATCCTCACTAAATAAAAAAGAATAATATTCAGGCAACAGCACTCTCAACCTAATGATACAATTACAGTTTATTATTCTCTGTCGGCTTTTGAAGAATGGCAGTAATGTCAGTGTTTCCTGAACCATCAACTGAATGGCAGAAATGAAATTACTTAAAATGGGAATCTTGGTGTTATCTGGCTCTTAAAATATATTTAGTTTGCAACACCAGACTCTGACAGTTGAGGTGAATGCTATTTAGTTTTTAGCTTTAAACAAATAATATATCTACAGAAAGCAATGTATGCAATTCTTATTTGAAATACTGTCAGTTGAAGGAAAAAAATCCCAATGGACACCATCTGCAGTATGATCTATGAGCCCTGAACTGACTGGACAAGAGGCCTCCCCTTACCTGCGTGTCCTCCATGTGTGACAGTCAGCCTTTTGTGGTTATGCTTCATTGCATGTTTTCAATCTGCCCCACAGTGAAAAATCCCTTAGCTCAGTAAAAGCTATAATATATTGGCTCAGATATGGGTTTTTTCCAGAAGGTAGGAACTGTGCTCCAGTCAGGAGTAAAAGCAGCTTTGTATTAAGCAGCAGACTGATACCTTTTATAGTGACTATTGCTTATGTCCAGCTGGGAGCAGACCCCTGGGTAGACACAGAGCTTGCTGGATGAGTTGCAGATCTCACTGGTCTGGGAATGGCTCAATATCCCTCCCGAAGGACTTGAAAAACCAGGGATGGGGCATCTGAAATGCCATGCTTAGCCTGCTGCCACAGATACTTGACTGGCTAAGAGGAGGATGACAGATGAATGTGTGTTTTTCTATCATTTCATTGTAACTTTTTACTTATGTCCCTCCAGATCTCCCACAGCAATATGTCTGTCAAAAGGAGGAGGTTCTTGCTGACCAGCAGCTCTGTAACCAGGAGAGAAACTCCAGCCTGGACCAGGAGGACCCAGAGCCTGCACAGATTAAATTGGAACACAAGGAGCTCTTGGCCAGTCAGGGGGCAGATCAGCTGGTATTGAAGCAGAGGACTGACATGCTAGCTCAGTGCACATCCAAATGGAAAGAGTTATCCAGAGAAATATTTGGTGACTTTGAAAGAACATTCATTCGTTATGAGGAAGAGATCGATCGTCATTGCAGACTGTTGGCTGTCATTTGGAAACCCAAAATAAAGTTGAACAGAATAGGCATGTCAAATTATAGTGATCTCAATGAAATACTAAATATGATTAATGTAGCTTTACGGTTAACTAACCGTAAGATTTTAGTCCTCATATAATGCTGGAACATTTAATCCAAAACCATACATAATATTTTGTTTACTGAGTAATACCTGTGACTTTGTTTCCACAGCGCTCTGCTCAAGAATGTTCATTTAAATACAATATACACTACCGGTCAAAAGTTTTAGAACACCCTAATTTTTCCAGTTATTTATTGCAATTCAAGTTGTGCAAGTCCAATGAATAGCTTGAAATGGTACAAAGGTAAGTACTGAACAGCCAGAGGTTTAAAAAAAAGGTTTGGTTACACAAAACCGAAAAATAGTGTACATTTCAGAATTATACAAAAAGGCCTTCTTCAGGAAACACGAAGTGGGTTAACAATTTAAAGCTGTTCTGCAGCAGTGAAGGTTGAAACAGCCTTAGAAGCTGGTGCTACTAATTCCTACAGGTGTTCCAACTTTTCTTGATTACATACAACCCCCTCTGTCTCCATAAAAGCAGTGTTGGAACACACTGTGGTACCAGACCCTCATGAGCATCAGCTGAACAGTATTGTACTGCAGAAAGTAGTGTGTTGCTACAAAAATGGCGAGAAAAAGGCAATTAACAGTGGAAGAGACACAGACCATCATAACACTTAAAGATGGAGATCTTTCCTACAGGGAAACTGCAAAGAAAGTCAAGGTGTCAGTGAGTACAGTTTTCTTCACCATCACAAGGCACTCAGAAACTGGGGGAAACTCTGACAGGAAGCG